AAAAACATTTTCAACAAGAAACTCTTTGTGATCATGAAGCTGATAATCAAATAGATTACACAAGAAAAAAAAGAAAAGTGTCAATAACAAAAGTAATTTTTCTATTGAGGTCAATTATATGGTTTAGAAAAATTCTGGGCTTTTTTAAAATATTCTCGACAAAAACCAAAAATCAATCCAAAACTTGAAGAAATTTTAAAAAACTATAGAAATCTTGAAGATTTTTGTGTTGATGGTGCATCATTTCCACAACAATTTTTTCCAACAAAATCAAATTATAGCAATTGAAAAACATTTTTTTTTCTATGATATAAATCATTTCTTTATAGACTGTTCCAGCATTCGAAGCAATTGTTACTGCAGTAGCAAAGAACAGTGATACATCAAATTCATTAAAACCAAATGGTGAACATTTTCCGACACGTAATAATCGTGGTCAAGCTCGACAATCGAATCGATGAACAATATCTGAGAGGTGCTAAACTTTATACACGTTTTATTTTTATTTTTCTATGTATATATTACATTGATTTGTTATTGTGGTAGATAGATAGATTAAATAGTAATGCATTTTCTTTTTCTATCGATAGAGATATGAAGAATTTTCATATGGTTTCGTTTTGTTTTCTGAAACTATTTGCTAATAAAAACAAAACAACTAAACAAATTTAATTTGATTATAATTATGCATGTTTTTCTTTTAAAAGAAAAAAAAAGAGAATGGCTTCATCTCGTTTATTTAATAATATTTTATTTCGATAGAAGAATTTAGTGTTTTAAGAAGAATTGAGATTGGTTTAGGTATTGGTGGTGGTGTGATTAATTCTATGCTTTATAATGGTAAGTAATGAAAAGATTTAAAACAAAACTTGTTTTCTCTAAATTTAAATATATTCTAGTTGATGGTGGTCATCGAGCTGTTATTTTTGACCGTTTTCAAGGTGTTAAACTAGATGTTATTGAAGAAGGAACTCATTTTATGATTTCATGGCTTCATAGACCAATGATATTTGATATTCGTGCACGGCCACGATCTGTTCCATCAATAATAGAAATAAAAGGTATAAAAGCTAGAAGAAAACTGTCAACTTCAGAAGAGAGGTGAACATGAGGAAAATGTAAGTTCGCAAAAAAAAAGAAGGTAAATACGATATCTATTGAAACATCAATGAATGTATATCGCTGAGGTATCTTAAAAAATTTTGCGGCCATCGATGGTGACTCAACTGATCGGTTTATACCTCTACACTCGCATCATTCACCAATCTTAGGATACTTCATAAAACTTAAAATCGGAAGTCTCCGTTATTTTTTCTTCGTATAAATGAAATATGCATAAATTACATTTTTTTATTTTTATTTTAGATTTACAAGCAATTAATATAACATTACGTATTCTTTATCGACCAAGAGCTGAACTTTTACCAAAAATTTTTTGCAAATTTGGGTTTCGATTATGAAGAACGTGTTTTATCATCGATTATAAATGAAGTTTTAAAATCTGTTGTACTAAGTCTCAATTTGATGCTATTGAATTGATTACACAACGTACACTTATTTCTCACCGTTTTAGTGAATTATTAACAGAACGTACTGCTCAATTTGGTTTATTACTTGATGATATTTCAATTGTAAGATACAACAAAAAAGAGTCTCGAGTTGATTATATATAGTTTTTTTCTTTAAACTAGACATATTTAAGTTTTAGACCTGAATTTACAAGTGCTGTTGAATTAAAACAAGTTGCACAACAAGATGTTGAAAAACAACGATTTTTAGTCGAAAAAGTAAATCAATAAGAATAAAATTTGTACGAGTTTGTTTTTTTTTGATAAAAAAAACAGGCTGAACAAAGTCGTCAAGCAAATGTTATTGCAGTAGAAGGTGATGCTCGTGCAGCTGATTTAATTGGCAAAGCTTTAGATGAAGCTGGTGATGGTAAATTTTCGAATATCTTTTATTATTTTGTCTTACTTTATTTTAATACTCATGTTAGATTTGATCGAACTTCGACGAATTGAAGTCGCTGATGGTATTGCAAATCACTTATCAAAATCAAGAAATAGCGTCTATTTACCACATGGTCCTCAAATATTATTTAACATTACTGGTGCTATGCAATAAAAATATTGTTTTTTTTGTTTTCATAGTAAACTAACGAGATTGATTTACGACAATAAAAAGAACATATAAGAGTTTTTTGTTTGTATGTGTGTGTGTGTTTATAAACTATTGAGAATACTAAAGCATTGTATAGTCCTGTTTTTTGTTCGATTAAAAAAAAAGAAGATCAGATCAACAATTCCATTTCATTTACAAGAAATTTTTACCTATCGACATAAAAAAATTGATGTAAGAGATGAGTGTTTAGAACTTGTACCAGCTGAAAATGTACAGGAAAATACTGTTGAAATAATTAAACAAGAAACAAAAAGATAATCAAAATTATATAAATGCTCGATTTCGTTCACCACTTGTCAATTATTTACCACATTTGGTAAGTAATTAAAATTATTTTATTCATTTAATTAATATTATCTTTTTTCTCTTGTTATATTTATTTAAATAGGTTCCATCTCAAGTAGCTACAGCTCATTTTTCAACTTGTTCTATCACGTGATCATCGTATTGGTATTGATTCAATTCCAACAGGAATTTGTTATGCTGGAACAAGTGATCATGGTTTTAGTCGACGAAGGTTATTTACTGCAGTCCCATTAGTTAATCAATATCCTATAGGTTCAATTCTTCTTGAAAATCCATATTATGGTTTAAGAAAACCACTAAATCAATCTCGTTCATCATTATTATATGTTACCGATTTATATATTATGAGTGAAGTACTTGTTTTAGAAACATTTATGCTACTTCATTGGTGTCAAAAAATGAAGTTAACATCAGTTATTCTACATGGTTTTTCTTTTGGTGGACATATGGCTTCATTAGCATTTACAAAGTAAGATTCAATTCTATTATTTGATCTATTTAATGAATGGATATACAGTATCTATCATAATTTCAAATAATAATTCAAGTAGAGCAAACCATATTGCAAAAAGAATATAAATTAAAAACATTGATTATTTGATTCCCTAAGTTAGGATTCTTTTAGACAACCCAAAAGCCTAATTTCTCAGTATCTAATACTTGAACTCTATAGGACGGTTTTTTATTGAGTAAAAGTTGAATCATTTTGGTAGCCATTGTGTATATATTTATATTTTAGATGGCCTGATCTACCTTCTCGACAATTCTATGAAAATAAAGCCTTTCAAACATTTTATGATTATTTACGTGAACGAAATCGATCAATTGATTCAAATAAAATTGTTCTCGATCTAATTAAAGATGTGATGCGTCTTCTTATGGATGAATTTACATCTTTATATAATTATTTACGTTCAGTTCAATCAAATATATCTAATGCTATGCTTATTGCTTGTACACATGATGGTTATGTATTACGTGATGGTATTCCACATATGACTGATGTATGACCTGGTATTTATATCCGATATATTCCTCATGGATATGTTAGTGTATTTTTATTTAATCAATCAGGTCTTCATCATGCTGCTGCTGAAATGTTACAACGACAAGAACCAAATGTAAAACTAAAAAAACATCTAATCATATCACCAATTTCTGTTACTACACCTAAAAATTTGTGAACATATATATTTTTTTCATATAGATATTTTCTCGAAAAGTATCAAATATTTCCTAGTTTTTGTGTTATGATTTGAATAATAACTCAGAGAAAAAAAAACTTTTGATCGAATATAAACTAGATAATATAGTA